GAAATTCATCAAGAGATTGGCAACGTGTATTATCCAAATGCAATGAGTGGCAACAAAGTGCATAAGAGGGTGAGAAAATGTCCATGACGAACTGCGATCAGGTGACCATCAACGATCATAGAAGATTTGGTCAATGCAGTGGATGAAAAGATTCATGAAAAACAGCAATTCATAATTTCAACTTTAGCATTGGAATTTCCAAATGCAGACAGAACAACTTCACACAAAATTGTCTCTGAAAAGTTAAAATTTCACAAATTGTGTGCATGTTGCATTCCCAGGGTGCTTACTGAGGAATACCAAATGAAAAGAATGGCTTGTGCCTGAGGATGATGGTTTGGTAAAACCATCAAAACTGGTCCTGTGAAAATTTGCAAATACAGTGCTGATTTCTGTTGCTTGACTTCTAAATTAACCCTTTGAAGGGCACCAGTATATAATATATACCGGTTGTTTGTCAATTTTTTAACCTCGGAAAAAATGCTAATTTTTTTACACCGAAAGCTACAATCGTAAGTGTCTAGTGTTTTCTTTCAATTCTAAATGGTAGCATCACCCTATGAATGCTCAATATTTTGCAGTTATGAAATTAATATACCTCTTTGCAAGGTATCATGTTGGAAGATTCATAAATTCTATTGGAGGGAAAGAAAAAATTCAAAATCTGCAAATATATGACGTACACATGCTGAACCTTATATATTTACTTCATTTTTGTCAGAATTGATAATTAACAGAAGATTATTTATACGATTTTAAAACCGGTATATAATATATACCGGCGCCCACGCTGAGGGTAACACGCCAATAGATGGCAGCACCAGTTTTCTCCTTTTCTACTCTGTGACATGACAGAATTTCTTTATTATTATAACAGTTTATGATGTAATAATTTTTCATGATTAATTTATAAGTCGTTTGGGATTCAATATTATGTTCATGGAGGAATGGGAAGTTTACTGACCCTGCGCTAGGACTGAATACAAGTATATTAGTTTAATTTATTCTTTGTGTACTCAGCTCGAGTTTCATTCGTCTCTGTGTGTAGCTAAAAGTTTTACTTCAGCGCTTCATCCCTTTTTCCCAAGAGAAAGACTCATCGATTCCAAAATTGCTCATCTGGGGTCAAAACTTTACACAATTGTAGGGGTTAAATGTGTGGCATGTTAGCCCTCCAAAAGACTACCCGTTGCTTCGTGTTTTCCAAAATCCTAGAATTCGGCAAGGAAAATGAATAGAGGTTGATTGACAACTAATTTGTCATTCGGGAGTCACGCCTTCTTCCCTTTGTTGAGGTGTGATAAGATCACACAAAGGGAAAGCTCACTTAAAAATACGGGAAATTGGAAATGCACTTAAGGTCATATCATAGTGTAATCACCAAAAACTCCTGGTTTGAAAGCTTTTATTCTTAGGGAAATTCTTTTTAATTCTTTGTTAATTTCAGATGAAAGACTAGAGAACACAAGAGAAATTTGCGCTCTGGTTGATACAAATAGGTTGTTTCCGAAATAAATTTTCACAGTTCGTGAAAAGGGGAAAAATATTTCTGAGGCCCGTTTTAGATGCAAACTAAAATGTATCCAAAAGTTGAAAAGGAGCCCCTATGAAGCCAAAGGGATTGAAAATCAGAATAAGAGCTTTGAGATGTATCAAATAATAAAATTGTTTAACAGCGTTTCTTCCTGAAAAAAAAAAAAAAAAAAAAAAAAAAAAAAAAAAAAAAAAAAAGATATATTACAAATTATACAAAAAATAAAAAAGGGACCCTTACGGTCCTCGATGATCTAAAGTGTGTGTGCATGGAGGGGGGGGGGCGATTCTTCGTATACTGTATGAAGCATGGTTTTGTTCACATATATACAACTTCAAAAATGCAACATACTTTCTCAGCTGAGTCGGTCGTAGTGCTTCATTTTCCAATTTTTTTAATTTTCGGCTGAGTTACATCTGCTTGTAATATTATACTAGTTCAGTTACAGCATAATACGATTTACACATGCAGTGTTATATTGCTAAATTTTTTTATAAAAATAATATTTAATTTAAATCAAGTTGAAAAGCTTTTTACCCATATTTTACATAAGTATGGTTCAGTTGGGTTGCATCATCAAAGTGCATAAAAACATAAATTTTATTTTTGAAATTTTAAATTGTCTGCCGAAATTTAAAAAAAAATTATGTCTTTAGACTTTACATAACTATATTTCAAGCACTTCATCACTACAGACGCACATCAAAAGTAGGCAAAATCAATTAATTAAAAAAACAAAGATTAAGCTAGTTGGCAGCTACCTTGGAAAAAAATGTCCTAGAGGGGCGCCTGGTATAAAATGTATACCGGCTCTCAAAATTCAGGATTTCGCTCTAGATTTTTTTTAAGTCTCAATTTTGTGTCCTTAGGGTCCATAAGTTATAGTTCATGCAAAATTTTATTACAGTTTAAATTATTTTATATACCGCCCCTCAAAGGGTTAATATCATAAAGGTTATCAATCAAAGGATGTCATGGGGAACAAGATGTGAGTTTCTCACATGACCCCTGAGTTTCAACATCAGTCAATGGAATTGTATTACACAGTATCACCAGTCAGAATCATGGCCAAGCAGACAAGTATTTGGGGATAGACATGCAGCCTTGTTAGTTGAGTTTATACAACAAGAGATAGTAATAAATACAGCCACTTACTATAATACCTTGACTAAACTTAGACGTGCAATACAAATATAAAGCATGTAGCCTTTTGACATCTGGAGTTTTGTTGCCGCATGACAATGCTAGACCCTATTCTGCCATTCATATGCAAAATCTGATCAGATCTTTAGGATGGGAACAGAATAACCACCCACTGTACAGTACAGCTATGGCTTCAAGTGATTTTCACTTGTTCTGCTACCGATAGGAGTTTCTCAGTGGAAAGCACTTCACCAGAGATGACAAGGTCAAAGAAGTAGTTCAAGACTGGTTATCCTCACAGGTAGTAGATGTCTATGACTTAGGCACATAAAAGCTTGTAGAACATTATGACAAATGTTTAAACACATACAGAAACTACATAGAAAAACACAGAAATAGGTAAGGAATTAAACAATAAAATATGTTACAAAAAATCTGTCATAATTTATGACTTATAAGGAATTGAACCATACTTTCCTAATAGCCTACGTAGTTAAGATCATAAAAATTCAAAATGTGTGTGGGGGGGGGCAGAAACAAGAAAAAAATTTAAAGAAATATTCTGACTGTTGCAATCTGACAATGCAAATGAAAGACGACAAAATACTGAAAGGTCCTCTCAAACCAAAGTATCTGGAACCTGAATTAAGGTGAGTTGATAGGCAACCTTAACCACTTCAGCTCTGCTGGCAGCATTTGCCATTTTTATATATACAGGTCTACTTTATCAGAAGTACAAATCGTTTTACTATTCACTGCCAGAGATCTCATTTGGAAGCTTGTCTGCATGTGTTTCCCCACTCTTCTTGTGGATATTTACTTTTGAACACTGCTTGTAGAATGTTTTTGTAGCAGGAATAACTCATGTACGAGCTTGTTAATACATTGCAAATGAGTTCTTCTAACACCTATATACCATTAAAAGTCGTTAATCCGGACTCGTCGGGACTTCGGCGATTCCAGATTATCGATTTTTCCGGATTATAGATCATCAGTTTAAATCTGGTAAGATGGCACGCAGAAATTATAAAATTAAAAATATGAAACCGTAATTTATGAAATAAAGAACAATTATGATCTAAAGGGTATCAAAATTTACCAAAAAAAAAAAAAAAAAGCTTAATATTTATTTGTTTACTTAACATTTCTTTCAATGTAAGTTGTTTAAGTTGCTTTGTTTTATGTGATAATACTTTCTCTTTAATTCTATAAACAGACATAATTTCTTGTTCAGTTACAAAGTTCCGCTGTTTAAGTCCTATAATTGCTGTGTCGACAATACCGACTAATTTGTCAATCGAAATTTTTTCGTTTTCAATAACCTCTGTGTCACTTTCTTCACTATTGGAAGCGAATTATAATGATGAGGAATTTGATTTAAATCATATCAAAGACGGAGTACTTCAAGGTGAAATACTACATTTAGTAAGAAATTATAAGCCAAATAAAATAAAAACATCTGCCCTGAAGATAAGGATAGTGCTGACAGATCAACTTCCAATTCATTGTGCGCTGCGGCGTTTCCCCCTCCCCTGCCACAGAGCAGCGTGAAATTGATAAACAGATTTCGGAATGGTTAGAGAAACAAAGACATAAAGTGGAATTGCTGCAAAAAATGGATATGCCTTTATCCATTTTTTGCAGCAATTCCACTTTATGTTTGATGGACATCAAAACATACTTTCGCTTTGTAGATCCTTTGGGAGCTCCAGCATTGGAAATTCTATTTGACATAATCGAAAGTTCAAGCTTACTTTTATAAAATTGCTCTAACAATCTGCAAAAAAAAAAAAATAAGCCGGATCAAATTCGAAGATTAAGGAACAACGCAATCTGCAACATTAACTGAAATAGATAATTAGATAATTTTAGCTTATACCGTCCGTTATATATTAAACGTGCATGCGTAAACGTATTATGTGCATGTGCACACGCATATGCACAGCCGTAAAGGTCTTACGCGCATGCGTCAACGCGACGCATGCGCAGGATGTTTGTAGCTTTGAGGTCCGAATTAACAACTTTTGACTGTAGAACATTTTGTAGACTTTTTTTGACCTGTAAAAAATTTCAGGATTGAAAGGATTAAGAAGGATTCTAAAAATAAAAAACTTGGAAGACTGTAGCAAAGAACACAGTATCAGAGTGAAGAATACACTTCCAAGCTAATGAAGGCCATTCCAGGCTGCCAAACCATTTAAGAGGATACACAGCTATATTTCAGATATTCATGACATAAAATCAACAATAAATTGAAAGAAAAATGTTAAAAATTATGATTTATTAATTTAAATACTATAATCACATATACTATCATTTTTACCTCCTCATCATTATCTGTAAAATCGTCTGAATCATCAGTGTCTTTTTGCTTCAAATTTTCTGCCTTCAGATATGTTTCAGGCTTCTCTCTTAATTTACGTCTTCTTGCCTTCATTATAAGCTAAAGAAATAAGAGAGTTTTTAATGAAATTTATATACACTGATTGCCATAAAAATTTGTGCACCAAGAAATAATTGTGGGATCATAACGAAACTTGGCACGAAAGTACATGTCGGGTAGATAGGCAAATAAATGATTAGAAATGCAGTGTGATTGCACATTGCATAATGCCACTAGAGGACACTGAACTTTGTTCTTCTTGGAGTATAAAACAGGTAAGCAGAGCTTGTTTGAGTGTACTTGAATTTTTGCTAAGGAAACGCCGAGGTACACATGCTGTTACGCTACCATCGAAGCCAATATCAACAGCTGTTGGAGTTCGAGAGGCGAAGAATCATCAGGACGATGGAAGCTGGGTGGTCAGCTTGGCAAGCAGCTTGTCAGGTAGTCCGTTCTGATTTTACTGTGTGGAGGTGTTGGAACCAGTGGATAGAAGAGACGTCATTTACACTGCGACCAGGCTCATGACACCCTCGACAGACCAGCCATCGAGAAGACCGTCACATCATACAATATGCACGCGTAGAGCCAACTGTCTCATTGGCCACTATCCAGACACAGGCAGGAGACAGGAGACCATCAACAGAGCAACTGCACCATCATTACGACTTTCAGCTTTTGTGCTCTATTGACGGAAACTATCTACCATCCGCTATCAGTGGTATATTTGAATAAATTTGCAAAGTTATATGGTTGTGCAAATATACATATGACATACAGAGACATAATACGGTCTTGTGGTGTTTACAAATGGTATTTTAACAATAAAGCTAACATAAATATTTAGATAATTGTTATTAAGTTGAAATTTATGTTAGATTTTAATATTAATTTGACGAATAACCAATTATATAATATAAAATGTTATTATTTTAAGAGAGTCTAGAAATAATGAGAGTCTAACTGTAGACATAAGTAAAAGGTAAACCATGTAGTTATCATTATAGACATAGTAGACATAGTCCAGACATAAGTATTATATATCATTAGTCAGACATAAATCATTAGTCAAGTCATCATCAGTCAGACATAAGTAAAAGTAAACGTCTTGAGAAATAAGTGTCTTGAATAAAAAAAGAAAACAGTCTTGAGTGTAGCTTTAATTAAAAATATTTGAGTAGAACTTCTATAATGAATATATCAAATATTTGAGTAGAAATTCATCGAAGTCAAAATAATTGACATATAAACATGTACAATGATGATGACAGTAAGATTAGAGAGCATATAATTTGGAGAATTAGATTTTCTATATTAAGAAATTCAGAAAAATGTATGATGATATCATAATACACGAAATATTTAAGAAGGATTAATCCTTAGTTTACGGAAGTTCCCAAGTGGGAGGAAGTATGCTATGCAAATATTTACGGTGCCCTTTGAAATTGTCAGGATTTAAAGATAGATAAGTTATAAATGACTGCAATTACGATATAAATGACTGCAATTTTTTACGAAGTATATTGCTTTTCTTGATTTGCTTGAAACAAAGTGGAGCAGATGTTGAATTAATTATATGGTTTAAGATGAGATTCTTTAGTAATTTCACAGTGAAACAAATAATGATCTATTGTTCCATCGTGTCTACAAATGCATTGGCTTGAAGAATGTAATCCAAATCTATGCAGATAGACCAGACACAGGCAGCAGCTTCATTACAGGCCCCTGTGTCTTCCCAAACCATCGCAAGGTTGAAGGACATCTAGTATCGCGGCGCACATTACAAGTGCTGCCAATGACATCCATCCACTGACGCCTCGGTTTGCAGTGATGCCGCGCGCGACAGGATTGGACTTTAAAGAACCAGATCATCTTCAGCGACGAATCTTGATTCCATTTGACCAGTGATGACAATTGTGTTCGTGTATGGAGGCCCCGTGGTGAACGCCTCAATCCTGCCTTCGCTTTACAGCGACACACCCTCCCCACAGTTGGTGTGAAGGTATGGGGTGCCATTGCTTACGATACATGGTCACCCCTAATATTGATTCATGACACTATGAAAGGCCAGCGGTACGTCCATGACATCCTTCAGCCACATGTGTTGCCACTCATGGCAGGGCTCCTAGGAGCCTGTTTTCAACAAGACAATGTTCGGCCATACACAACACAGATCTCACAAGACTGCCTCTGCCACACTTTACATCCTTACTGGCCTGTTGATCCCCAGATTCGTCCAAAGAGCATCCATCTGGGATCATTGGGATGGCGAGTTGGACAGCCGACAAGATTGGCCAAAGAGGCGCATTTACAGCAACTGTGTAACGAGATGTCTCAGGACACCTACCGAACTTGTGCCACAATCCTACTGTATTGCATCGTGCATTGCGCTACAGGTGGCCCAACAGAATACTAAAGCTTCCGTTCATGTGTACTTTTTCTGCAATAAATTAATCCTTTTTTCTTTGATTTTCTAATCACTTACTTATATCAAAGTAGTACTTACATATGAAAAATTACGTTTCATTATGACAACTCTTTTTATGGCAATGAGTGTATTTATTTCTGAAACTATAGTAAAAATGCATTTTAAATAATTTAATAAAATTTTTTTTTTTTTCAAAACTCTTTCAAAAAAAAAATTTTAAATAAGGTAAATTCTCACACAAAAATAAAAACACATTAAAAAGACAGTTGTTTTAATATACTATTATTTACACTTTTTAGTTCTTTTGCATAAAAAAAAAATTAAACTTCGGTGAGATAAATTTAGGAACAATTCATTTCTTTAAACATTCTGAATGTTCAATGAGCTTTCAAATTAAGAAAATAAGATTTAATAAATGCTCATAAGCTATTGCAAAGTAGAAAAAGAAGTAAAAGCTCATGAGCTATTGCAGCTTATAATTTTAAGTGCATTCAGGTCCAATGACCATGACTGATTTGAAAGCCTATATCACAGCTGCTATTGCCAGCATCCATACAGACATGATACACAGTATTTGCCAAGAAGTGCATAACAGAAGACAATGTATGCTGTGTAACAAAAGGACCTTGTATTGAACATTTGTGAGGACCACATTCAAAACAAATAATACATCTACATGTATGTATGTATCTTTAGAATAAATACATAAATTATGTTTTGCATAGTAAAGCATTGAAATGTCGGCATTAATTTGATTTATCTATACAGTCAAAAGTCGTTAATCCGGACTCGTCGGGACTTCGACGACTCCGGATTATAGAACATCAGTTTAAATCTGGTAAGATGGCATGCAGGAATTATAAAATTAAAAATATGAAAACCGTTAATTTATGAAATAAAGAACAATTATGATCTAAAGGGTATCAAAAATTTAAAAAAAAAAAAAGCTTAATATTTATTGTTTACTTTATTAAACATTTCTTTCAATGTAAGTTGTTTAAGTTGCTTCGTTTTATGTGATAATACTTTCTCTTTAATTCTATAAACAGACATAATTTCTTTCTCAGTTACAAAATTCTGCTGTTCAAGTCCTATAATTGCTGTGTCGAGAATACAGACTAATTTGTCAATCGAAATTTTTTCGTTTCAATAACTTCTGTGTCACTTTCTTCACTATCAAAAGCTAATTATAATGATGAGGAATTTGATTTAAATCGTATCAAAGACAGAGTACATCGAGATGAAATACGACATTTAGTAAGGAATTATAAGCCAAATAAAATAAAAACATGTGCCCTGAAGATAAGGATAGTGCGACAGATCAACTTCCAATTCATTGCGTGCTGCGGCGTCCCCCCCCCTTGCCGCAGAGCAACTTGAAATTGATAAACAGATTTCAGAATGGTTAGAGAATAAAAGGATATGCCTTATACCCATTTTTTGCAGCAATTCCACTTTTTGTTTGATGGACTTCGAGACATACTTCCGCTTTGTAGATCCTTTACATATTAGTAAATAGTACATATTGGAAATTCTATTTGACATAATCGAAAAGTTCAAGCTTACTTTTATATAATTGCTCGACCAGTCTGCAAAAAATAATAAGCCGGATCCAATTCGAAGAATAAGAAACACACAATCTGCAACATTAACTGAAATAGATAATTAGATAATTGTAGCTTATACCGTCCGTTATACATTAAACGCGCATGCGTTGTAGCTTTGAGGTCTGGATTATAGATCATTCTGGATTATGGGTGTCCGAATTAACAACTTTTTACTGTATATGCTTAAAGTGAAGAAAAATTTCATGAAACTTTTAATTATGACCTCACCTTTTTTTAAAATAAAAAAAAAAAAATTAAAACTGACTGAGCAGCTCAACAGTTATGTACAGATAATTTTCCTTAAAGCTATTTTTTATAATTGGCTGTGCAGCACTTTTTAGTTTTATGCTTAGAATATTAAAAAAAGGCAGAAATGCACCATGTTTTTGTACTGAGGTAGACTGCCTGCTATATTATGATTACTTATTCCTTTTTCACATTTTTTTACCCCCTGGAGAACTGACTGATTGAATATACAGGGGTTGGAAAAAATATGAAAATACCTTGTAAAAATGCAAGTTTGAATTGAAATGTTCATTCCTGCAAAAGCTGTTGGTGGCGCTGGTGTGTTTGCTTACTAACACCACCTATACAACCAAGTATCATTTGTTATAAGACAGTGTTCTGTGAGTTGATGTTGGAGTTCTAGCAAAAACATACTTTGCCTTTCTTATATGAAAACCAGGACTAATCTAAAATAAAATTAATATTTATTTCATAACTTAAATTATAACAACTAGGCTGCAACAGACTTACATAAAACAAAACACCAGTTATACCCACATCACCATCCGGCACAAAAACACATCTCGGCCATCCACCATAGTGCGTCATTGGCCATTCAGCAGCAGCCACGTTAGTTTACCCCCCCACACACACTGACTCTCCAATTTGCAGAAGAAAAAAAAACAAAAAAAAAAAAAAAAAAAAAAAAAAAAAAAAAAAAAAAAAAAAAAAAAAAAAAAAACAAAAAAAAAAAAAAAAAAATTCTTCATGAAAATATTAGGATTTTAAATTATGCTCAT